TCAGCTTGCAACTCTCATTAGGGTGTGCATGTGAGTGAAAAAGTCCTAAATAGGGAACAAATTAAACAGAGACATAGATGGAACTTAAGACATTTGAAAGGTGAAATAAAATATGAAAGTATTGCATCATTAAGTCACCATAGCACTGCGGACGGCAAGGCAAGAGGGTGTGTTCTCAACGTCAGTCCGACCTGAATAATTTGTAAATGGTTGGTAAAGTGATGAGGCTTTAGTGCCTCCCATCTTACACGAGGCTATTACAAAGACAATTGCAAATCAAATCACAGTCAATTTTAATGCTTAAGTGGGAACCATAGCGTTGGTTTTTGAGGTTTGGGAAAGGTTTAATGAGGAGCTTACATTTTAAAGCTATTGCTACATTACTTATTGTAATTCAGTACAAATCAATTTGTTTTGCGCAAAAAGGTCAATTCATCACTTAAAATTGAAATGCATTGTCAGGTTTAAAATAGTGAAAAATCCTGACAATGTTTGCTTTATGCAAAACCACTTTTGTGCTGAGCTACAGCTCACCACCTTTAGTACACAACGGGAACCATTGGAGGGGTTTACCTGTCTAACCGAGGCGGTGCAATCATGCGATTTTAATGTGCTCGCTTTGGGGTGTTGAAGAATGGATCATCAGATATATGCCAAGCACGTGCTAATGCCTAGTTAAAACACCGTCAGTGACCTATTTGTCGGCAATTATCTGATCAACACAACTTATCAATATGCCCCGCATTGTAATGTGAATTTTCCGTTGCCCTTCAGCGAATCGGAAAGACAAAGCACACTGCTATCATTTGCGCGTTCAGGAATTTAGACTTTTAAATCACTGATTAGAAATCCATTTTATTTTAAACCATAAGGAAAATCTATGTCTCAGCTTCACTATCCCTAGTCAAATATTATTAATGCACAAGAACAGTGAAGTTAGCCTACTCATTTCCTTGGTAATTCAAGTTTACTATCTTATGTGGGAACAACTAATCGTTTAGACGTTCCTTTGACGAAATCAGGTCTATTACAGCTTAGTCCTGCATTCTCTTCATTGCAACCACTTCCTCACATTCCACCAGTTAAAACCCAAGTCATGTTGAATGTTGTTTTCAATAATGACACCACACACTGCGAAAGCAGACCCACGATGGATCATAATAGATGACGGCTGATTTAAAGCACCTTTGAAGGCAGTGAACACAGGGAATGGAAAGCATTTTTAAGAACGCAACGTTATTCAAGCCACTAGTGCTTTTACTAGTCAAAACAATGAAAATGGTACGTAGCAGGCCTATTTACACTCACTTTTCATATCCAATCCGACACAGTAGCCAAGGCTCCCCGCAGGTCAGGTGTTGGTGGCTTTGCTGGGATGCATGAGTCACCGCAGCGAGGTCAAGCCGGGGGCCTCGTGTCTGTCACATGAGCACAGAGACGTGATATCGAACTGCCACCTCCGACCCGAACAATACAACCTTAGGGAGCGTTTGTATGACCGCAATCACACCCCATCAGGCCCCGCTTCCGCTAGCACATTTGGGGTAGTCCGATTCCCTTATGGGAAAGGGCTGTTAGGGTCCTTATCTGCAAGTATAGATAAGGTAGATGTTCTGTTACCTCCCCAAGTCATTTGCATACACAGTAAGGCAAACATGAATGACGTTCACTGTGAAGGTTCAGGCATAACTGTTTTTGGACCTCCTTTGCTACTTTACGCAAAAATGATCGCGAAAATTTGGCGAGACAAAGGTGTGGCATTTTTTGGGTAAATCGGCATAGTCGCTCGAAGCCTCGTTCAACGTCATAGCGAGGAGTAAATTTATTGTCTATCCTTCCTTTCGGTTAATCAGCTCAGCTTATTTAAATGGTGAAAACAGAGCAGCACGAACTTTTGTCCTCTATAGTCTGCACCACCTATTTGATTACCCTGTGAAAATCGAGTAGAATGGCAAAGGCTATTGAATACCTGAAGTTCCTTTTTTTTGCATCGATGCTGCAAGATTTTGAGTTAAGGTGAGGAATGCGTCAGAGTGGTGGTCTCAAAGCCCTAAAGACACTCTCCTCTTCACCGGCTGTACTAAAGGCATTTGCGCTGAACAAATGCTCCCCTTCTATTCCAGCCTTATCTAATGAAGCTCAATCAACATAAAACTTCACTATGAAAGAGAGACAAAGCCTTTGAGATTGCAGCCTCCACGACTGTGTGGATGGTGTTCTTCTCCATCCATTTCCAGAGAGCTGCAGCCTCAAGACTGGTGAACTGATTTGTCCCATTTAACTGTGCACACCATGTTATTTGTGGAAGAGAAATAAGCATGAAACAGGACACCGAAAAAATGAGAGCTCTAATACAGCATGGAAGCCCGGTGTATCGGTGTCATCAACCCACGGCCGGTAACACAGAGTTTAGTCTTGCGCTTCCAGTTCAGCCGATCTGCTGACGTGGAGGTGTTTGCACTCGATAGCGTTGCATTTGCAATCCTGACCCGGTAAACCAGCAGAAAGCGCACACCCGACCCCTGTTTAGGTGTGACTTTTTTGGTTAATTCAACATGGTCGAACACAAAATACGCTTCTTTATGGATGAAAATTGGTAGCTCTAGATGCGACTTCGATGATAGCTACATAAATAAAAACAGAATCCGCTCGATATATTTTTTACGTCTCTCAAAGTGATTACAAGCAAAAACTTACGGAGACAAACACCATCAAAGGGACGTTTGTTGAAACAGTCGACTCAGATACGATCACATTCTACAAGGTGAATAAACCGGTAGCGATTTGCGTTGTTTGCATTTTGATACTTTCGTTAGTCCAAACGAGCCACTTCTCCGCAATGGAAGCTACATTGTTTTGGAGTTTGACTGACTATAAAACAACTTTTACATTGCATCATTCCTGTGCGTTAGAGGCCGTTTCGGTAGCTTCGAGGGCTCAAACCTAGCCGGCCATCTTTAGCTAATTGAATTGTTAAATCCATCAAAGATCAAACGGTTAATGTCGGGGCCCTCGCTGCCGCCTAGCTTTCATGGTCTGACAAACGATTTGTCCGACCATAATAAGCGTTTCATGGTCATTGACACTCTTGGCCAGGATAACGATCCACTCAGTGCCTCACCAACTACAGTCACCGAGTCCACAGAGCATGTGATGGAAGCAAGCAGCAATACCCAAATGCCCCTCCTTCAGATCGGCATCTCCCCTCCTCTTAGGCTCCTTCATGAGTTTTTAACCGTTTTGTAACAGCAAACCTTACAAGGCTGAGACATGACACCAAACTTAATTTCTGCTGCTTAAAAGTGTGTGCCCTCTCATGGACACCGTCAAGTCATATTCGGAAGCGCAAAAGTGTGGTGAGAGACGAAGGCAGCTAATATTAACCTTTAATTTTTGTGATCGAACTTTCTTTAAGCCTTTTGGTGGAAAATTTGTATCAGAAAGCAATGCAATCACTTACAATCCCCATTTTACCACTCAGTCATTTTATTCCTTATTCAAAAATACTACACAATTGCTATAAAGATTGAAAAAATGCACGCTTTCTTGCGCCCTTTTAATCACATATGCTCACAATAGGGCTAAGTTAGTAGGTTGGAAGTAGATGTTTGAGAAGAACATATCCACATTGGCGTGCATTAATTACTGAACTGAGCTACAAACCTGTACGAAATAAAGGGTCCAATGTTATGGCCACTGTGTGGTTACACTTTTGTTGCGGCTTCGGCCATAGAGGTCAGACATGTCGTGTTCTGGTCTGTGTGAGTCATTTCCACCGAAGTTAAGGTCGAACATTCGATTTCGGCCTTGTAAATAAACAACACAGCCATCCACGTGACGACCACCATTGGTGATTTGAGCACATCAGCAGTGACTTTAATAGTAACTGACGGCGGCCACCGTTGCAATAGCAGGCAAAACCGAACCAGCGAAGCACTGATTAGCCAACAAAAGAGGTTCGCAACTGACTTCACCCCACTAGGTTAGGGGCTGTAATAAAGGCCAATTTCTAATGTGGCCATTCACTGGGAAACTGGCCACACTCCTCCTTGTTGAATGCCTTACAAAAAGCTGGAAAAGTGAAATAGTTATTTGATCAACTTAATTGATACAATGAAACAAAGATATTTACATAAATGGCACAAGCAGATCATCATTGAACTTGAATCACCGACATCCCATGCACAACCTTGGAGCTGCCTATTATGGTCTTGCTTAATCATGTGCTGTCGCATTACATGGCGATTACGACCGGTGCAAACTATTCTACACCACTTGGTTACCAAGACTTACAAGTCGGATTTTAGGCTAAGTGAAAGGGAAGGAAGACTATTGCTGTACCCTTACCGATTGGCAGTTTCGAATTAGAACATATATTGGAAGCACAGATTTTCTATGGTCAAACGACAGAAGATTTCGAAACGCCGACAAAAGTAGTCACTGCTCAAGCAAATAAGGATTTTACTAATGCATAGTCATAGGCATGTTGTTGAGCCCATAATGAGCAATCCTCTCACTCACATTCAGACAGCGTTACAAGATCCCAACAGACCACCTGGTGGTGACGCCACAGGAACGTGTTGGGTCCCTGCCTTGGCGAAATGTGAGTCATTGCAGTGAGGTCAATTTGGGACCTTGTGGCTGTCGCATGAGCACAGAGACGTGATATGGAACCACCATCTCCGACCTGAAAAATAAAGCCTTAAAGGCGTCAATATGACTCATTCAGTCAAGCCCTACTTTGGCAATCACATCTGAGTAGTCCGATTTCACAATGAGAAACAGCTATTGTTTTTGCATAGTGGACGCACGATTAGCCTCCCTTCCACATGGTGAATAGAAGCTGTCACAGCACCTCTTGTTTTGTTCATCTATATGCCTAACTTTGTGGAAAAAAAGAACCTTCCCACCCACCCCAAATGAATTTATCAAATGTGGGTGCAAGCTCATTCCCAACTTAACTCCACAAAATCGAATCGCAGGGTTATATTGTAAAAAAATTAAACGTATTTATGGTATGTAGCATAATAGGCATAGCACAATAAGTCATAGAGGTTCTTGTTCAGAGTGTCAACATGAAACAGCTCATTCAGACGCAGACTTAGTAATTGGTACATAATAATATAGGTTTCATAGCTCGGACCCTCGTGCGGTTTGAAAAACCTGTGGTATTGTGATTGAAGGCATGATGGTAAAGAGGAGAAATCGGATTCGAACTTATTCATAACTTTCGGCCAAAAATCACAGAAGAACGCAAACCAATTTAGGTATGGGACTCTTGCCTGAGAATCCAATTTCAAAATGACAAGAGGGTCATCAACAAGATCAAATAAATCATCCAATAACGCCGGTTTGGTGGTTTTAGTTGCGGCATCAATTATCGTTGGTAATGGCACTGTTTGGCTACTAACAGGTCTGTCCTGTCTTCGCTCTTCCAGAGAATCAGTTTCCGAAGAGAATGATGAGATTTCATCCTCTGAACTCTCCGATAGACTGTCTTCAGACTCCTTAATGCTATGAAGATGTTCCATCGCTCTTGCATCATCCAGTGAACCAAGCATCACAGGCGGTGGAACATCCAGTGAATCGGACAGAGACGTGGTTGAATTGCTGTTGGCATATTTCTCAGATAGAGTGTCGTCAGACTCCTCAACAGTATCAAGGCTTTCCATGGCTGTTGTGCCATTCATTGAATCAGAGTGAGTAAATGTGGATGAAGTACTACTAATAAAATCTCCAGATACAGAGTCTTGGGACTTCTCATTACCATCAACGGGCCCTACGTTCACCGGTTCCGCCAATGATCCAGAGTTCATGGACGTGGAAGTCGACTCAACTATGGCATCTTCATTCACGCAGTTATCGGACTGACAAATTGAGATCGAAGAGAGTCCATGTGTTATGCCTTTCAGTGTGGTGGGGTTTGGAGTTCGAACATCGCCGATATAGCAAGCTGTTGCACACTCAGCAGATCCAACGGATAAAAAACCTGCAAAATCAGATTCCCTGCAGGCCTCGTAATGGAAACTCGGTGGCTCCGAGACAGCACGTCTGACACCCCGCGAATTGCTACGGACGAATACGTAGGAGTCTAACAGAGAAGTGGAAGAACCGTAAAGCTCATCTAAGAATAACTAATAGACACGTAATTTGGTGTTTCGTGTGCAATGTTGAAAGGCAGGAAACTAGTAAATGTCTAGCAAAAATTAAATCAAAAAATAAAAGAATACTGAAACCGGCCTGATGAAAGAGTGCTGAACGAAGAATCCAAGATATCCCAACCACCATCACTTGATGGCGACCCCATTTCTCGACGCTCGGGATGGAAGTGACCAAGGTCACGACGAGTCGAGGTGATGCACGGAATCCGAATAAGGGTCATCTCGCAAATAATAAAACAAGCACAAAACGTAATTGTTAAATGAAAGTAGTGGGCCAAATTAGCCCGTTGGTAGGTATGTTCAGTCGGGTAGTAAACAAATAAAATTAGATCCTAAGAATATGTAAGGAGAGAATCGCCCTTGAGCGGGTTTATGCTCGGTCTAATGTTAATTGCTGCCTTAATGGACTCCCCTGGTCTTCCTTGCTTTTTTCTCTAATTTTAGTAAGACCCTTAAACTAGGTTCATGAAAATTTTGCTGCCTGTGGCTAGTAGATGCCCAGTGTTGGAAAGAAAATAAAAGTGTTGGTCACCAAGGCAGTGCGATGAGGCATAAACAGGAATAAGCTCGGTTTTTTGGTTGTTGTTTGCATTCCGGTGATGCAACGGATTTCCAGTCGCTGATTTGACGCCTCTCAGTACTATTCTAAACTCACTTATGACATGCACGGCAGTATCAGTGTCGTCGTTCTGCCAAACGCTCTTCAACAACTAGGCTAGAGTCACAAGGCACTCTCTTAAGGAAAATTTCATCAACAGGCTTATTGATGGAGAAAATTCCTTAAAGCACACCAATTGTAAACTCAGTAGTAGGCAATTCCCAGAGCCGTATTTTAACGAAATTTTGCAATATTAGCAAATTACAATGCGACCACACCAACTGATGCCAAACCATGAAGAGATGGGTTGAGGTCTTTGCAAAACACATCGAGCTTAGCCACTCCTGTAAAGAGAAGGGAAACAGTCGTAAGCATTCAAAATCCAATGCTACAGTGAGGTCATTTGGGTAGGTTGACGATGTCAAAATTTCCATTCACTAACGTAAGCATTGACGTTGACATTTCAGTCTTGTTGGCTTTTCAAGTCGAGTTTCAGTCAATTAGCCTCGCGAATGAGTGGCAAGTTGTCACTGTAAGCTTTCACTCTCAGACCAAACGTTGCATGGGTCCTACCAAAGAGGTTCGCCAGGTGAAGGAAACCGCTCAAAGGGCAAGGATGACAAGCCAATTGGGTAGGCGTTGAGACTGATGGCACGCCCCATGGGCTGGAAGTTTTGACAACGGATAAAGAAAAGCATGAGCCTGCATCAAAGAGGGCTACTTTATTGTCTTAGTCAACCCTATTTTCTTGTGATTTAATGACTTATCAGGTGACTTTTATTAACTCACCTCCTTTATATCGTTCATATGTGTAGACGTGTGTCCTGCCATTGGAGGTGAGATTTTGCCATGCCTCTAGGCATTACATCCTTGATTCACTGGTTGGGGACCACCAACTCTCCAAAACATCGGCATAACCAGAAGGCATTGAAGGAGGTGCATCTTAAGGAAGTATTACTTTTCCGTGACTCATCATCAATTTTATCGTGCACGCAGAAGGCGTTTATCTGCTTTACAGACACTCAAACTCTCAGGACAAAAGTTGAACAACATCACATTGTGATTACTTCTTACTGAATGCCAATCGGGCACAAATCTGCATTATTACGACTCCTCTTTAAGGCAACTAGGCCCAAGTGCTCAATCAGTTAAAAAATCATTTCTCCTTGGTGAATGATATCAATGAAAGTTGTAAAAAAGTGGATACTCTCTCGCCGACTTCTATCGTATGATTGCTGGAAGGAGGCAGAGACCCCCTTACCAGTCTCCTTGTTGCTGTTGTTCACAAGTCTTAAGGAAACGACTATCACCCATTGTTGAAGGGTGATGCAATGCTTTGTTTATGCGACTACCTGACGTTTGGCGGTTACTTTAGGATTTGTTTAGCCCTTGTACACGTGGGCTTGTCTTTGGGCCATGCTCAGGCCCAGTCGCTTCCTTCTCTTTGGAATACATGTATCCAGCTTCACTTACAGTATTCGTCATCCCGGTGGGAAGTCTCGGGAGGCTACAGGTGAAATAAAGCAAATGATGTTTCACAATAACTCTCAATTGTTAGTAAAGGTGTGCCTTGTGAATAATTTATAGTGCTTTACTGGGAGACTGTCATTTTTCTCACCAAACGAGGCTTCACTTAAATGTCCATGTTAGAGAACACGAAAATGAGGACGACTGCAAGATTTTGAAGTGGCAGAGCTGCAATAGGAGAGCATTTGAACTTGAATTTGAATAACGACGAAGGGAAAAGCTCCAGAAGAAGGCGGACCTCTCATTTTCTCTACCGATGACTGAATGCTTAAACTATCAGCTTTGCCCTAGAGGTCCGCTCTACGGTCGTGAATGGGAAATACTTCCCTAGCAGACCCTATTTGTGTGTAGCACATCGAATTAGCACAAATGTTTCAGCTTTAACCTTTAAACTGCCATTTAGTGGCAGCCCAAGTTAGCACACTCGCCGTCAACGCTTCGCATGCCTCGCAATCTGGAGAGTGTGTTCGTAAAAAAAACAGTTAGGAAAGTGAAGACAGGCTTTGTACTTTGCACCAATTCGATTCCTCCCAACTCAGTCAAGTAGACTTTACTATTTAACTAAAGATAAGTCAAACATTGTTCGATGCAATGAGGTGGGAGAGAATGAGCTTGAGGGTGGAGCACCATGTGGAAAGATCGCAGCCGATGTGAATGCGGCACAGCTGCACTTTGGATGCTAGGCAAGGCGACTCAGTTACATTGACGGTCAATTCTGTGAAATGCTACGTAAAAAAAAGGTTCCCAAAGAACATCACTTTAAATTGCCTGGATAATTATTCACGATTGTCTTTTGTCTGAAAGTCACTGTTGTTGGCGTTCTCATATGACTTCTCGTCGAAGTGAATCTCTTTGATGAAACTCATCTGTCCAAGCCCGAAATCTTGACGAGGAAATAAAGTGCAGGCGTTGCTTATGGCATTAAAAACAAAAGAAATATGAGTGGTAGTGGTGTACAATACACAGTGATTCGCATAATTGCTTAGCCATTTTGTAATGGCATCAATCAGTGGCACGTCGGCTCGTATCGATGACGTGTGTGCAGATGGGAGGTGTCATGCTGGCATGGCATCTCCCCACTCAAAACCTCTCAGCAATTAACTCCATCATTAAGCTTCCGTGATAGGTTCTTGGTGATGTCAACTACTTTACCATAAAGACGATGTTAGACATTGAATGTCCCTGCTGTACCAACACTATCTACTTTTCAATCAAATTCAGCAGATTTCATGATTTTAGTTGACATTTGCATTGGTTTTTGGCTTCACAAAGAGGTACAAATCATTTGGAATGCAGTCCAGCTTCTGTAAACCCTCATTAAAACCGCACCACATGCACAAACGACCATTTGTTGGAATTATCCACTTACCGCCTCTGCATCTTGAGAATTGTGTAATTTCTAAATCTAGTAGAAAATGTGTTTGTTGCACTCTTCCTAGTCACATGTCGCTGATCCTGACAAATCTTGTAAGCCCGTCAACAGCATCGTCGTCCAGTGTCTAGACGTTCTGTCTGCACGAATGTGTAAAATGAAAGGCAAGAAATGCATGTCTAATTTCATTACCTTTCAGTAGGTATCCGAACATTCCGTTTGTTTTTGGCTTAAGAGGGACATCAGAGTGCTTCGTTAGTGGTGATGTAAAGCAAGTTCGACCTTAAAAATGCTTATGCCACGCATGGGAGTGCAGTGATGACCCTTAATGGGAGGGCCAAAAGTGACGACTATTCTCTGGAAAATCTTCTCCAAAGCGAAGCTCGAATTAATTCTTCAAGCTGCCCTTTCCTTGGCATAAGCTTAAGAAATGCGAGCGTCAGCACTGCGATGGGAAAAACTGCAACGGCAGGGTAGACTCGAAAGCCCACCTCAGCCAAACTGGGGTAAATCATAAAAGTTATGGGAAAAAGGATGTTCATGCTTCATTCTCCGAAGGAAGCATACATTCCAGCGTAATTATGCCTAGGGGACAATTTTAGGCCATTGGTAACTGCAGGGCATTAGCATGCTCTCTGAGCGTCGTGTATGAGACGGAGAGGAGGGTGCAGAGCACGTTTGATCAGTCACGTCACTTTGTGCTAGACTAGTAAAATGAATGTAAAAGTTCATGAGGACTGCACACTCTTATGCGGTACATATGGAAGCGGGTTTTGTGAAGGTGATGAAGCTGTGCGTTTCCCTTTCAACTGCTCCCTAGGTCAGACAAGAGGTGCAACTTAGCGTTATGATCAAAGCGAGGGCGGTCTTTTTGCACGCGCCCATAGGACCGCTATTATTCAATTTAGGGCTTGTTTTGTAGGCCACTTTCGTCACATCATCAATTCTGTGCCTAATTGTTACGAAATGTTCAGTTCTTGAAGAAGTAATTAGCCACCCCGATCTGACTTACACAGGTGGTTTGTTACCGTTACCGATCAAAAGCATTCAAAGTGTTCCAGGTCTCACTTTTAACCAGCAAACTAACAACTTTAATTCAGAGGCATAGTTTGATTGTGCAAGGACTCGCTATTCCAGACCTTGCTCCTGCCATCAGCAATCAAATCCTTCTCAGTTTTGTGGCCACCCAAAAGGCCTTTACGGTTGACTCAGGGGCTGGATGAGGTGCCGTTCAAGGTAAAGTGCCTTCTCTCAAGCCCAACTTGGAGCAGAAAGGGAGTTATGTGGGGTGTAGTGAGTAAAATGTACACGTTTTATCACAAGAGGCAAAAGGCGGTGAAGCAGCACTTAGACGTGGTGCTGTGAACATGAGCGAGTAGCATAGATTGATGTATCAAATGTGGGGTTCGAAAAAATTCCAGCCTCCAATTCAGCTTTGATTCGATCAAAGTACCACACCTCCAGGCCTGTGTAGGCTTCTGGCTCGTAGTCTGGTAGAAATTTGCATGCGAAGAGATGGGAAGCCAATCGCAGCATCGGTAAGTGCTCATTTCCAAGAATACACACGAAATCCACATATTTGGTGGTGCATCTGATGCCGTAATCGCCCCAGATGATGAATTTGCCAAGGTAACCGAGGTTCACTTCACTAGGAGGGCTTGGAGCCACCAAGCAAGCTCCAGGTAAACGCAAATGAGAATTGTAGGCTAGAGTGGGGAAAAAGAGCTCTTCAGGGGCAAGAAAGATTTGATGTTGGAGCAGGAGATCGCGAATTGGAGCCAGGGCTTTGCCCAAAACTGCTTCCTGCAGAAATTCCCGTCTGTAAGCCCCATGCACTGAGCCCTTGTACCAAGTGGCCTGCCATTAAACAGAGTCAAAGGAAAATTGAGCTAAATAAAATGAAATGCTAATAGTAAGGACTGCCCCGAGCAAGAAAATCACCTTGTATGAAGCAAGTTGAATCTAAGTTTTCTTTTAAAAGGCTCTCAAGAAGGTTTACAAGCACTCGTTTTTGCCAATCTCTTGCAAAAGTCATGCAAATATGTATATTGAGTGGAAGAAAACCGCTTTTAAATGAAAGGTTCTCAAAATGGGGAAGGAGAACACGTCCCCACAATAGGTAAATCTTAAAGCTCAAACTCACTACACCAATAGGTAAGTGAAAATATTGAGCTGCCTTTTTCGTAGCGACCGTAAGATACACGTTGCGATGGCACCAAAGATTGAGAAAACTAAGGCGACAAAGACAAAGGAGAAATTTCTGCACATTTGCGGTAAAAGTACTTGTGAATGTCACAACTAAAGCATAAAACTCATTTTCCTGGAAAGGCGGTTTAATTTATAAGTCTGATAAAATAGAAACAACTACTGCATAAATACAAAGCCACTGGCCGCGTATACCGTTGATAAATCTCATCGTGTGGGTATACTTAAAAATAATGTAAATGCGATAGGCCTTCTTAGTTATTTCGCCCCCTACTGTCACTATTTGCAGAGTGTATTCAGGTGACCACAACGTACGAGGAAACAAACTACGAAAGATTTGCAATGTGGATATCAAGCAAAGGAAAATAGCTTTTTGGATCATTTAACAATTACCGAATTTCCTCTACATAAGTGTGTGGTAATTCTATCGGAGTTTGCGCTATTAGGGGAAACTGGATAGACCAACTAGAAAAAATTTACCTGGAAAAATTTGCATTAGCAAAACAAATTAGTAAGTTTTATGCACAAAGACGTGAGCAATGTAGGCGTCTTTGAGCTCCAAGAACTTGGCACTGATCAGATCGTCTGTGGGCATTCAAGAAGCAAAGCAGCAGATAAACGCTTGGTGCCCAGCTCAAACGACCTTGAGCAGTAGCAAAATCTAATTGGCTATTGCACAGAGGCAGTCCAGCAGGCACGTAATCCAACAAGTGGCAAGTTGGCAAGTAACATAGTGGCTTACGTTTAAGGGCAAACTCCTATTTCCAATTCTCCCTCTGAATCGATTAATTGGAAATGACTCAACCAGATTGGATCCATTAAGAGCTTTCAAGATGGCTACAATCTCTAAATTCGTCCGCAGAGGGAATGCGTTGTCATCAATATTTAGCAAGTATTTCCACTTTCCATCGTGTTTCAAGGCCTGTTCAGCGCAGATGAGTTGAATTCGCAAACCACTTTCATCGCCTTTCGTAAAAGTAACACGAGATTTCCTTGGAACTAACTCAACATTTGGACCAAAACATGAAACAAGACCCAGCATTGCTCCTTCGAATGCCAAATCGACCGTTTTGTCCAAGTTCACGCAATAGTAATTGTTCACTCGGTAAATCATTCGTAAGACTCGAGCTATCTGCCGCACATCGTTGTGAACTGTTATGGTAAATGCAATGTCCATGTCTCCATCTCGATCCGGCTTATAGGGGAATCGGTCTCGGAAGAGGTGACAATTCTTGTGATGTGGTGAGTCGATGGCCGCGAAGAAAGCGACGGCAACGCCTTCCTCGTATTCACTAATGTCAAGAGGTTTCTGGGGCCCAGGTGGGAAGCCAATCTCCTGGCTGGGTATTTTGAAGATATGGTGCCATATTAAAAACATACATGCCACCATTACCACCGCAGACAGTATGCGGAAGAGGTAACGGCACGAAAGGATCATATTCCTTTTTGTGAAAAGAAAGGTCGAGAATGAATAATAAGTTAGTGTAGCTTTTAGGACAAATAGTCGTCAGAAGTTGTAATAAATCAAACTTTAGCTATCGCGAAGTGTAACAATGTAAAATTACTACCGTTATGCAAGAGGAAAAAATGGGGACCATAAAAATATTTCGCCAAATCGGTCTTATGTGTTTGAGAAAAGTCCTGAGGCAAGCAAACAAAAAGGTGAATTACTCTGCAAGCAGTCCATAAGGGAAGTGAAACTTTTAGCATACTTAAACTTATTTTCACATTATTTGTTAGCTACTGCTGTCCCAGTGTACAAAAGCTTAGGTGAAGGTGTCCTTTGCTAAATAACTGAAATTAATCTGTCACAAGGCCTAGGGAGGAATATTTCAGTGAAACACAATGAAGAGGAGGAGGAGGAGGAGGAAAGAGAGCAAGACTCGACCAAAATGGTGGTGTCGTGCCGGGATGGACTGTATTGGCCGACTTTTGCTTTTACAATTGTCATGTGACTTCAAAAGGCCTCATCTACGTTTCAGTAAAATTTGTGAAGGCATTAGCCTGTGAAAAGCTTACATCGTGCCGCATGTTTAAGGAAAAAATTACTTAAAATTACAAGCTTTAAATGAAAATGCTAACTTGGACCCATAAGGCAAGGCAATTCGATGAAGGAATTCAAGTGATAAAATTTTTGGGATGAAAGAAGTGGTGCGTAAATCTAAAATGCCACCAGAGGTAAATGAAGGAGCTTACGCGGTTGCCTACTGAAAAGTGAGCCAAGTGACCTCGTGAGAGGGAGTCTCACGGGTGAAAATGCAGTTTTGTGAAACTGTTGCTGCGCACAAAGCCGCGGTTATACGCGCCTGGCATCACCGATGACGCGCTGCAGTCGCACCCCCATTGGTTGCCGGAAAGGTCGCTCATGAAGTTTACCAGTTGAGATCCATTAACTGGCTTTAGAAGCATCGTCAACTGCTTCCCTTCATTAAACTCAACCACCTGAACTGATCTTCCAGTGTGACGTTCAAAAGAAGCATTATGATTAAGTCACGCCTTTTTTCAATGGATATATAAGTACTGCATAAGTGTTTTGAGAGGTAAAACGAGAAGAATGAGGTGTTGCCTACACAATCTAGGGGATGGATTATGGAGAGTAAAGAAACTTTGCGCAATTTTGCGTTCTTGACGAAACCCAACCACGTCGGAGCTGACTTTTGTTCCATTTAGCTGGCAAATTGTTTCATTTTGCTGCAGATGGAGCCGAACACAGAAGCATTATCTGCTGAAAGTGTACTGAAGCGCGACCTTCTCGGAGCTCTGGAGACTTTGAGCATAAGTGAAGCTCAAAAATAAAAGTTCGTTTGGCGAAGCAGTGGCTAGAACTCCTAACCCATCTATGCGGAGCGATTCAGTGGAGATTTCTGGGCATCACCGACGATCGCCGTGGTTGGAGGCTGCAAGTAGCACTCCGTTGGAATGTTAAAGAACGGCGAATGATCCACTGCTTAAGAGGATACAATCCCAACGGCCTCCAGTGCAAATGGACCACACTTGTTGCCTGAAGAGCATACAAAGCGGATTTCTTAATAAGCACTCCCCCCATTCTCAACACCATTATGAGGGACAGTTTCCGCTAATAGATTTACCTTTTACTAAATAAGACGCAATGTAGATTTCACAGCCGCTCCGTTCCCCTGGTGAAAAGTCTACACGAAAATCGGTATGAAATTGCCTCTCCAGGGAATGCGTTTGAGGCAGGCATTTGCAGCATGCTAAATGCTACAAATGCAGAAGGTTCAGGGCTCCAGTTCACCTCAAAGCAATGATCCATTGGATCCGTTCGACGACCACAACAGTTACACCCCACAGCTGCACATTCAGATCATTTTGTTGAATTAACTTTGTGGAGGAAGTATCACCACCTTAACTGTTGAATGCTCAATAAGTGTCAGTAGGAAAGATACGAAAGCGTAGTAATAACGAACGTGTTTTGAAAATAAAGAATGAAGCAATCACTTTCATAGGGAATTTCTTGACAATATCTTACCATCAGGTGACAATCTTCCTACGAGACTGCTGTGAGGAGGGAAGCGGTCAAATGTTCTAAGTGACTATGCAAGAACGCGACCAACGCTAACTGCTTTCATAGTTATACTTGCTTTTGAACAGTTCGTATCGTAACGATGGCCTGTGGACAATAAACAATCGCTTTATTGGCTCGACAGTTCCAAGAAGACAAAAGATTTTGGAATTTCAGTAAATGTTGCACATTGAATTTTTCCTATGGTTGTGTTTTTGTGTGAAAACGGAGCCTCCAACGAGTGTGTGCGGGTGTTCGAAGTGCTCACATTTCTGTGTCCTCTTGAATGACCTGGAAGCCAAAAATCTCATTGGAATGCCTAAGGTATAAGATACTGGTTAGGAAAAAGGGCACCCACTTCAGCGACCAGTCATCACTCATCCATTATTTCAAATTTGCTGACAGGTTCAAAACGGTAAGGTGAGAGATATGGGGTGTGAATTACCGGTCCTGAGTATGGAGTCTGTAGCCTGTTGTTCGCTACACTGACACCATCACAGGCACAAAGGCCCAAACACAAAAACATTAATGCCTTGGATAAGTGAGACGAAAGGTGAGTGAATAACTTGCAGACGGCAGACTTCTAAATAATGTGTAGCATTTATTGGAAGTAAATAATTCCCTCCCGTTAGCGCAAATCACAGATTAGATTCAAACAGCCAATTTACAATGAATGGACAGCTCTCACCACCTGTAATTGCTCCAAATTCTGCGGGTGCAGGTGAAATGACTCGTTTCTATGCCTACATGGGCTTCCCAACGCTTCGTCTCTCACCGCAATGCATGACTCACTGAGCGACTCACCTGGCAGAGGTAATTGTTTCAACAACTTCATTGTGTCACGGACTACACTACCAACACATGAGACAGTAAATTGGACAAGGCGATTAATTGGTGTGTCCTCTTTGAAGTAGGCAGGAGAGGAATTGTGGTAATGAAGTGGATAGAGAAAAGTGAATAACACCAATGGACTGACACATCGCACTTTGGAAGTAAACTGGGTGAGGCCCTTGACTCACCGCATGCACAGCGTAGTAAGGTCACAGCAGCAGTGGAAGTTTCACGTCAAGGCGAAACAAATTCCGCCCTTTGGTTTTACACTATATGCTAGTCGCCTAAACGACATCGTTTCCTAAAAACTGCTATTCCTTTGTTGTCTCCATTCGCAAACAAACCCCAATTCATGAGAATCGAAAAATCGCTTTATTTACGAGCATCAACACCTTGCAACACATTTAAATGCCATCAACTGTACGAGATTGTTGACTTGGAGAGCAGATTTCGGCATGCCTCTGAATTGGGTGTACATGAACGCCGAAATTTTGTGGTGTTGTAAAAAGGCGCAGTCGTGAATGCGCCTAATCACACTTTGAAAATCCTTAAGTACGAATGGTTGTCGACGTCAGGACGTTTTGTATGCTCATAAGGAGGGTATTAGAGGTTAATCAACAATTTCTTGCCTAAAACTCCCCTTTACAGCTATCGAAAGGGAACAATTTTTGGTTCCCTAGTGTTCCATGCAAATAGAAACAGTTATCAAAAACGGGAAGCATACTACTTATACAACGCTGACTTGAATTCGTTGCAACTACTGACCAACACCAATGAACTCACTACAATCGCTCATTTCTGCTCTCCGATGCCGTCACATATCTGTTGACCGAAAAAGAACTTGGACTCAAAGTAAGCGGTGGACTCTGCTCAACCCCAAGAAGGGCATAATTAGACCGACTGTATCCCAACCTTGGACGTATGCTGTATACACTGTAAATGCTGGCAAATTAAACCCTTTTGAAACTCACTAACACGGTAAAACAACAAGGCATGAAGAGGAAAAGTGTGAGATTATGGTTGCGCATTACAAACCAGCCACCTCCAATAGACTAGAAATAAGCTGTATTTTGTCTACCTACAAAAACACGCTCAAAATAAAGCTCACATTTTATTCTGCCACGGACCCACATTTATCAGCAGTCTACCCCGAATTCCTCGGAAATCGATGATACTACCTCGTAGGTCAAGGCCAATCAGTTCTTCTTCTGATACAGTGAAAACATTGACGTCCAGAATGCGATAGACTGGTCAGCAGTCAAACACTCGATTTGACGTTATCACCGCTCCCCAGCCATTGTGCTCGTGCGCTCTGCTCGATCCCTCTGTGACCCTAAATCGTCTGCCTACTCGTTTCGTGTATCTGATATGCCGACTAGTCAGTACACCGACTTTGTCTGCCTATCTCCCGTTTTTCTTGCGCCTCCGACTGGCAGCCCAGATTGGATTGTGCACACTATCATTCACAACCACCCGAATTAGTTGGCTGACAGCGTCGTTTAGTCAAACTGATGGTGTACTTACCACTCACTACCTCCATGCACGTTGTGAACCCACGCAGTGGTGTATTAGGAGAACCAGTAAAAGGTTTGCGGACTTACCCCTAAGCATTAGGCAGGCGCTTTTTAGGAGAGTACGCAGGTCTTAACGCCTGTGCGAGGTCGTCGCTTAGGCAATTCGAACGTTGTGAGCTCATACTACCGCTTAGTCACATAGAACTTCAAACAACAACAAATTTCGAATACTTAAATTCAAACGTCATGAATCTGACCACGTGACACCAATACTCACAAGAAAAAAGCGTAGTTTAGGCAAGATAAACCATGTAGCACTTGAGACACAGCCTTGAAGAATCGACACTCCTTGACAGTGATAACCGATTTAAGATAAAGATGCGTCTAGATTATGCAGTCGTCAGAATAAAGGGAATTCAGCCTCTGATCAGACCTCATCGGTATTCAGGTGGCTTTTGGAGTGGACAAACTGCGACCACTGAGCAGATTGGTGTAGATAAAGTCCCAGCTACCGTGACCAATGTAGCATGCCCGCCATCTACCGGCCTCCTGATCTAGCCTTACTCAACC